ATTAACAATTATTCCACGAGCGCGCGTTGGATATGAGATGATCTATGAGATGATAGATAGCCAACTCGGCGCTACGCGCCTCGTTGGCTATAATCCCCTCATATCCAACAAGAGCGAGTGGAATAATTGTTTTATTAAAAACGTTAAATTAAGTTATTAAATTCTATTAAATTTTATTAAATTTTTAGCTCCCTTTTAATTTCAAGCTGGCACGTACGCTTTCCATATTTTAGATAATGGTATATTGGCTGATATACCATAATGGCTAAGCCAATAAAAAGTGTTGAATTGCATTATCCAATGATCTAGTTTTTAATAATTAACAATTATTCCACGAGCGCGCGTTGGATATAAGATGATAGATAGCCAACGAGGCGAGTTGGCTGTAATCATCTGATATCCAACAAGCGCGAGTGGAATAATTGTTTTATTAAAAACTTTAAACTAAATTAAAATCTTATTAAATTTTTTAGCTCCCTTTTAATTTTAGACTGACACGTATACTTACCATATTTGAGATTTCACTTAAAACTATATGTAGAGTTTAGGCTAGTGATGTCACTAGGTAGACTATTCCAGCCCGGTTAAACGCATGCAACATTTCAACGCATCATCTTGTAACATCGTTGTCTCGTGTAAGTAAGTAATTTTATTTAACCACATATCGCATATGAGCGATAGCTCGTTTAAGTGTAACTGTGGAAACCCACCCATCCCACCCCTGGGGAAGACATCCATCACACAGTAATCTCGTGCGTGGGAAATTAACGTCTCCTGCCCCCAACCCTGCAGGAGACAGGACCTCCATTTATTCGTCCCTATCCGCGAAGACTAGAATATCTTACCATCTCTTGATGTTATAAAAAGGTAGCTTATTCTTCTCAATTATTCAAAAACGGAATCGCCTGGGGGTTGAATGCTATCAATCTGAACATTTGATTGAGCTAAACCATTTCAGTTTATCGGAAAAAAACCCCAACAATTCGTATGAGTGATTTATGTTACCTTCAACAGGGTTATATTTTCCCTTGCCCTAGTTAACAAGTGATTGTAATGTTCTCTTTTTGAAACTGAACCAACGGAAACAAAACTTTTACATTACAGGTTAATTGTGAGGAAATAAAAAACTTGAACCAAAAGCTATCAGAGGCAGGCATCAGGTGCCACAAAACAGAGAAAGAATTACGTCACAAAGACGACATGATAAAACAGCTAAGTGCTGAGCGCCAACAGCTTTGTGAAAATAGGAAGCAAGATCTTGAAAATTTCGAGCAGCAAATACAACAAAAAACTGCAGAATGTCAAGCAGAGTGCGAAAGCCTATTGTGGCAACTGAACAATTTTCATCTGACCCAAAGAACAGCTAGAGAGGCAATACTATTTAACCAAGTTCAACAGGCTATAGCAGAGCGTGAGAGGCAGTTTGAAGAAAGACATCAGCAGATAGAGAGAGTAGCCAGAGAGAACTGTGCCCTCCACCAACAGCCAGAGGAACGTAGCTGGATTGTTCCACGCCATGAAGTTGTAGTCTACCGAGAACAGGAGCCTCTAGGGCGGAATTCCTGGGGAATAGTTTACAGAGGAAAGTTCGGCGGCTGCCCTGTTGCTGTAAAGGAACTTCACGGCGCCATCGACTCACCTCATTCTCGTAGGCTCTTTTACCGAGAGATGGAAATGCTTTCTCGGGCTAGGAACAAGAATATTCTGCAATTTATAGCTGGAGTATTTGATGATGGATTACCATGGATAGTCACAGAAGTTGCCAACGGTGGTAGTCTGGCAATGATTCTAGAAAATCGCGCATTGCAGCCTTCTGAATTATTCTCTATTGCTTCTGATGTAGCGCAAGGCATCCTCTCTTTACATCGTCACCCGGTACCAATGACTCATGGAGATATTAAACCCGGAAACGTGTTCATTTTCCAAATAGGGGAGCCCCCAGGAATACTTGCCAAGCTTGGCGACATGGGTAACGCAAATTTTGTATCTGGTGTCGAGGCGCCCGACCTAGTGTCGCCTGTGTACTTGGCTCCCGAAACACAAACACAACAGTTCACAACAAAAGTAAGGGGGTGATTTGATATACCAAGAAGTTTCTCTTAAAAGTGTAATTTCCATTTTGCTGTTTCGATCGCTATGAATGCGTAGAGAAAAAAGTCGGCTCTCCCATCAATCTGGCAGAGATCACAGAGTAAACGAATCTCAGGATAGTAAGTTCGTCTTCTTACGATTGCCAATTTACCAGCTCCCTTGTTTAGCACCGTGGTGGCATTTGAGCAATAAAATGGAAACCAGATACACAATTTGGGTTTTATGTACGTCGTTTGGTTGACAGATGCCCTAGTTAGAGCCATTTCATGTTAATGGTCCAAGAATTACGGCTTTGGTTTGGCTTTTATTAACTTTGCTTTGTGATCGGTCTAGAAAACTGGCACCATTCTTTCAACCAATCAATTGCGCAGCTAAAGGCAATCGTGGCTTCGGCTCTCGTTTCCCGCGCTTCCTGAGATTTGCTTATGTTTAATTTGGGAGCTGACTCTTTGTCGCCGTTAGTTGTCTCTAGACCTTTAATTACAAAGGAGGGACGTGAGCGAGAGGCGCACATTGGGGCAGGTGGAAGAGAGAAAAAGCAAAGTGTCTACTGCCTTTGGCCTTCCCGTCGTCCCATTTATCGTGGTAGCGCTAGTCTCTCGCGACTCTGCGGATGCGTTTCAAAAGCAGTAGACGACTAAGGACGATTCCGGTTTACATAGGATCATTTGAGTTCTGGTATTTTCCTTGACGTTTGTTGACCTATGTCAAACTGAGTCAGTCCACTGTTATTATTATTATTATTTTTTTATTCTAGGCGGATGTATATAGTTTCGGGCTTGTGTTGATGGAGATGAACATCAGAAAACCACCTGTTCCTGGAGAAATTCAACGTCAAGTGGAACAAGTTACCAATACGTTCATGCGACAACTGATAAGAAGGTGCACCGCAACAAACCCAGATGACCGACCGGACATGGAAAGAGTGGCTAACGAGCTGGAGCAGTGTGAACTAAATGACAGCAGTCACGGGTTTAACTAGAGCAAGAACACATTTTAGAAACCCAGTGAAAAGTATGTCGCGATCTCAAGAAATCCACTGATTAGACACTGATAATGTCTCAGATGATTTACATATAATGTGCGCAGATATTTTACAAGTCGCGTAGTATTTTTCTGAGCCCGTAAGAGCGAAGAAAATACGAGCAGAGCAGAATACATGCTCGTATTACATGACAAACCATCGAATAAGGGATTTATTTTTCCAATATTATTTTATTTAAATTTTTCAGTCTGTTGGCTCCTAGTTTGCTAAACTTCGTATTGTCTTAGGTGAGCATCATTTAAGTGTTCAAGTGCCAAAAAAATCTAGTGGGTGTCCAAGTTCTTTGCTGAAAAAAGTCATATCTAAAATTTGGAAAAACTAAACTAAGAAATACATTATTACGGTAAGATTAGCACTTAGAACATGAATATTATGATAAAGAATTTATTAAGGTCAGCTTTTGACTTTTCCTATTTTCTTAGGAAATTACAAATTGCAGGGTTAAACTACATAAGTAATAAGTTCTTACTAAAACAATTAGTGATAAAAACGAGCGATAAAAAATATGAAGGACGTTTCGACCGCTCCACGGTCATTTTCAAGTTAGAGTTCATGAGTAAATTTCCGCATATATACGATTTCTGAAACAATGGAATGAATGTAAAAGCCAAGTATTTACATATAAACAATAGAGCTAATAACTAATAACAAAGTGCTAAAATGAAGTGTAAATAAGCGGTGAAAAGGATGAAAATTAATATGAAGTGTTAAGCAAACAGCTTTGCGCGAATAGAAGCTGTTTGGGACTTGGTTTCTCCACACGCAATCGAAATTCGCTTTTCTCGATGAGGAAAACTGAATCAATGGTGCGACAAAACGATAAAATAGATTTGTATATTTTATTAACCTGTAGACGTCAGTCGATTTCATTACTTTCTTTCATAGTAAATAGGTAAAAAAAGTATTAACAATTCAAGTAATATTTAAAAAAGATGTCAGTATCTGATTATTTACTTTTTTATTGCAAATAGATACCTTGAAAAGAGAAACAAAAATCTCTCTAAACAAACTTATGTAGATTAGATTTTAGGAAAAACAATGTATTATGTCAAAGGCATTAAATAATTTTATCTGTTTAATGTTGGATTTAATACACTGTCTTGATCTTGATCAGTCAGCCTGTGTTGCGTAACTCAGAATTTTTCTGATGCTTCGATCGTTTGGAGGCTTTAGTTATTTACCCCCCCCCACCCGAGCAACCGCTCGGGCATTTAAACCTTTGGAGATTGGTTCGTACAAATCCCCCCCTCCTCCTGCTTCGGGCAAAAAGTTGCGTTTCAATGTCCCACTCGTGCTCAAGTTTTTATCGCACGATTCTTTGCGTGATCAACGAGTGTTGTTGAATTTAGAAAAGCTCTATGTGACACTAGAACCATTTTTCGCAACGTCAGCAAGTTTTAAAATCCCAAACTGAGAAGTCATCAGGGTTTTTAATTTTGTCAGACATAAATGCTTCCGACGCCTTAACTGGTTATATCTTTTTACTAAGGCGCTACGACGGACACTCGAGTTTAACATGCGGGGTTGTTTCGTGTTGAGTCACAAATCACTGTCAAGGCTTTAAAGTTTGCTTTTGTTCAAGGTTTCACATGTCGGCTTAAAGAACAAATCGTTAGGAACACTCTTTGAAGGGAATCACGAAATTCACTTGCTTCCCAGCCACTTGTAGCGTGAATTTCACTCAGCAAATTTTACATCTATATGAAATTGTTCTCGATCATGCAATTAACTTTCAAGATAATTTTAAGGCTGGTGAGCGGTTACTGTTTGTTTATTCACGCCTACTTTTCAAGGTCGTCACTCATGACGTTCCCGCGGCGCATCGACGTCACTCCAAGAGCTTCCCGCGGCGCTCCTAGTTCATTTTTTTTTTATTGTCATTGATTTTTTTTACTCGCGCGACTGACTCACCGAAAACTGAGGAGCGACTGCAAGTGGTCTATTCGTTTCGATATAAGGGCATTTGTACTTTGAAGACAGAACGTGAAATAAAGCTACAAACACGTCTGTCGTAAATGATCCTTTGATTTTCAGCAATTGACGCCTTAGCTTCGTACATTTTCTCGATCAGGAATGTCCCTGTCTCTATGGCGGCCGATCACTGCGTTTAATTTCAATTTGTATTTGTTTCCTATTTCAAATTCATGTGCTTTTTATTTCAATTCGCTCTAGTTTTTGCTTTCAATCTAATATTGCTTTCGATATCCATTAGCTTTCTTTTTGTTTTAAATTTATTTTAAAAAGAAAAATGCGTTTTTTTACAATTACACTTTTGTTTTTGTGTCAAACTGATTTTGTTTTAATTCATTTCAAATACATTTTATAAGAACCAATGGCAGTGATCGGTCACCATACCAGCCTTCTTTTCTACCCAATTCGTGTGCTTTACAAGTTTTTCCTTGATGAGTGTTCACAACAGATTACAATCTACGAGTGTTCATGTTCAAAACTTGGCACGCCAGTTATTTGTCGAGATCTAAAAACAAAAACAAAAAAACCTCGCCATATTCCTCAATCTACTTTCCCACCCACGTACCCAGACCTTTACGGCCACGCGGTTGTTTCAGATACATTTCAGTTACATTTCAATTACAGTTACATTCTAGAATCTGAAAACGAAACTGATTATCCTCCATCTACACCGCAAGGAATGCTCGTGGAAGGGGAAACTTACCTCTGCAAAAGGCGTTTTTTCGTTTAAAAGTCGTTCATAAGAATAGCCTACTGGAGCCTTAAAGCTAAATTACTTACTGAAGACGTAATTTTAACACGTTACCCTTGCAGACGGCTATATTTACGAAATTTTCCCAACTTGATTATTCTAATCCAAATTTCCTAAGAACTCAATGCACTATTTATTGAGCTTGCATCATAAAAAAAAGGAGAAAAAATTATTATTCATCAGCGGGTCAGTTTGTTTAATTTCAGTACTAGCTTAAGATGTACAGCAGCCGATTCTTGAATGTGGCACGGCGGAATTTTTACCATAATTTTTGGAGTAATGTGGCACAGGTTTTCGGAAGCGAACCAATACAAATAATATAATATTTCAGTAGTATGACTTTGTCACCAGTTGCAACAAGTTTGTGTCAAAAGTTGTCCTGTGTAACATGAATTGAAAATCATAGTTAAAAATAGACTCCTAATGTTACATTGTAATGAGGGAAAATGTGAGATCAGTTGCGGAGAAAATTGAGCGACAATTAACTTCTTCGGAGACGTAAAACGCAAGAAAGGTGGGTAAAAATCATATCTGTAAACGCGCGTGAGGAAAACTGTGACATTTTAATGTCCGAACGTAAAAAGACGTTTTCGAAATTTATGATAGTAAGAAATGATAAAAATTCTGCACTGACTCGTAAATTACATTTGGAATTTCCGTGGAAAAAGTTCCCAATTGGATGCGTCCGCAAATCGATGGAAGCTAAACGCCAGACGACTTTATGGCAAATTGTGTTTAAAAAAATGAGGAGTGTAAATGTGCGAGGTTGTGCAGTTCCAAGGAGTTGAAAGTGTATCGGGTTTTTACTCTGATGCTGTACCTAGAATTAACACGAAACTCCTGACGTACAATGGATCAGCTCAGTGTGGCCTTAAGTTATCATTTCGAAATCGTTCGTTTAAACGCCAATATAAAGACGAAAAGAAAGGGAGTCACTTGTAACTGCACTGAAAGAGGAAATAATAATACTAAAAAAAATAGCAATTTTCCCAAACATAAAACATTTCAGTTGTTTTCAATTTACGTCAAGTCTTTAAAATTTAAGAGGAGGGACCTTATTTTGACTGTTTACTTATGAATAAAACTGGATAACGAAGCAATTTGTCTAGAACGTAGAGACTAAACAATAACAGCGATGAATGACAAGTGACAGTTCACAAAAGCCCTGTGACAATATTATCGACAAACCAAAAGAACGAAAGAAAGCAGGCAATTAGCGGCAGAGATTTTCAGATTACATTCAGTGCCTTCCTTCTCCGTATGACGTTAGCAGTTTCACGTCGGTAACCGAGTGATAAGAAAGAAGAGAAAGTGAACCAAACAATGTTTACGCAGCTGGGAATAACTGACACGAGAATGTTTTGAAGTGGACAGCATCTTTCAGATGCGCCCTCTTCAGTCAAAAGAAAATCCATTAGCCAATGAAAATCCGTTCCTTTTAGCCAATCAAATAATTCGTTGAAACGAAGAACCAATGAATTGACAAGGGTTTGGGCATTTTAATTTCGTTTACAAGTAACCCAGAATACCTCATTTACCGTAGGCTTGTTGAATTTCCAAGTCTGCGATAACACCGTCTGGCAAAAAAGGAAATTAAGGGCGACAACATTTTCCAATGGCGTCCAACTGATGTAAAAAACGAAGCACTTGCTATTCAACAGCTGCCCACGGAATGATGTCTCGCTATAATAATTTTCTTCTTCGAAATGGTAAAAGCTGTACTCAAATCAATTTTTTCCTTCATTATTATTCTTTTTTTCACTTGAAAAATCGAGTTCATAAAATTTAAGAAACAGCTATTTATCGAGTGAGTATCAGTCTCTTCAACTGACCTATCAATTTAATTTTCTCTTTCATTTGTTTAGGTGTAGTGGTCATGGTGTTTTTGGGTTGTGCAGCGTTGGATTCAGGAATATTTCATTCCTGCCCTCAGGTACTCTTTTCTCAAAACTTCACATGGATAACTTCTCACTCGATTGTGGTATTTAAACAACATGATTTTTTAAATCCGCAAATCAGGCTGTAGAATTGGCGAATTAAGAAGGTAATCCAGCTATCGCGAAAAAACAAATATTCAGGGAACAAGGAGACTAAAAATGTGGAAAAAGCAATGCTTTGCTCTCATTCAGATTTTCATTCGTAAACCATTTAAAACCAGAACGAACCCTCAGGAATTAAAGGACTTATATTTTAAATATATTTGTCGTTTGAACCATATCGGTGAACAAACAAAACATGTTTATGGAGTTCTTCCAGCACCCTAGGGTAAAATGTGTTTTGCATAAGCAAATGTGCCTAACGCTTTGCCACGTGAAAGCCAGCTCTCTATATATAGAATTTGCGCACAGTAGTTCGTGAAGCGACAGCACTCGGTGTGTTCAAATTTTCGATGTGCTTTTAAATCTCCCGATCATAACTTTTGCTTACGTTAGCGGAGAAAAAATCTTTCATCAAATTAAAAGCGCCATTTCAAGCGCAAGGTCTTATTGCCAGCACAAACAACTTGTCGAAAAGCTTTATTGGCGAACGGAAAATTACGTAAAAGCACATTATATTCCTAGCTTTTAATAGATGGTTCACGGCGGCTGTGGTTGTAATGTTTTCCCTTTTGTTGTGTTGCTGAGACAGATGTAACCTAATTATTGTGGAACGTATTTCCTATTTAAAGTCGACTGCAATTAAATTTAAACATGGAAAGAGAATTTTAGATCCCTTTTTCACTTCTTGAAACAGCTTGATATTTATAACGAAGCGATGTGCGTCAAGCGAGCGGAAAATGCGATGTCAAAAAAATTTAACTTTTATGCGTTGATTTGTATCGAATACTGAATTGTAATGAGGTTTCACCTTTGGGTACACAGTACATTATCATTATTGTTTCAACTGAATTGTAATCACAGCGTTGTCAAGTTACTGGATATATTCAGAATAGTCTTAGATCCAGAGACTTGTGAAAATAGATTATACATGCTAAACTTAAGCTTGGAAAATTGAACAAGATTATAGACAATTATAATCAGTGCACAAAAAATTTGGTCACAATTCAGAAGAGGAAACGTAAAAGCCTTCTAAAAATTGATTTAAAAGAACAAAATACACGCATTGATAAGGCAGCTGACATTATCAATTCAGAAAACCGTTTGGAGTTTTTAGACTTCGGGTAAATTTTAATGTGCGTTTATTTGCGGTTAGGTCAGTAACTTCAACGAGACGACTACCAGCGAAAAAGCTGAAATTATCAAATGTTGGTGTTCAAATAGTAAAAAATAATGCAAACGATTTTTCTTGCTTAAATAAATCGAGCAAACCCCTTTGTTAACAGAAAAATTTGTAAAGGTCATTATTAATTTCAATTTCCATACTCTGAACGTACAGCATGGTAATCCTTTTTAACTTGATTGAAAAAGCGCATTTGGAAGTTTCAAAGTTTGCATGGGCTGCATTTAATGTTTCTCTCTTAATTCGGCAACCAATGGGAAGCAAACACCTTTTGACGTATTTTTAAGGACTCAAACGTACGCGCTCTGAATACAATAACACCCACTTTTCGATCGAAAAGCAGATATTTAATATTTTATCTAGGTGGAAGTTTCAGCTGATTTAGCTTTCTCTTACGAGTCATATATAATTAATTGAATTAACAGTTATGTTAAGAACATTTTAGCCCGAGGCTAGATGTTCTTTGTATGTGTTGAATTTTTAACAAGTTTTCTCCTGTTCGAGGAATCTTTATGAAAACACGGAAAAGTGTCTCCGATAAATAGAGAAAACAAAAAATAATCGAAGAAAACTTGAATTTTGAGTGATTCAGAGTTCTTAAAAACTGCACATCGTTGTTTGGTTGGAAATAAAGAAAAGTTTTAATCGCAGAATTTTTTTGTGCCCTTGTCAGACTGCGTGTGCCCGATTCTCGCGTCCTATTACGCTGAAATTTTCAACACTAAGCGGTCAAATTATAAAATGTAGAGTAAACTGAAAGATGAAAGCAGCAAATTGATGCTGGTTCGCAAAACAAAGTTATATTGGTTTTAATTCCGAAGAAACAAATTTTCAGTTGTTAACTTTCTTAAAATTAAAATTCATTCCTCCGGAGGGAAGCTTTTATCGCAATCGCTAAATTACTCCAATAAGTCTGTAGTCGGGCCGAATGTTCCACTCATCCGGAACGCGTTCTGGTTTCCTTAGCATGGAGCGACATGGTGTATATAAAAAATTGCCAGTTTAGGCTGACGCATCCCACATATAGTTATGAGTACCCTGTTCCACGAGAGAAATATGATTCCAGAATATAGAGACTAATTCACACTCAACCAATAATTTAGTGGTAATAAATAATCATATTAACAATTGTGATAAATAATAACAATAATAATAATAATAACAATAGAAATAGTAATATTAATAACTTATAGGGGCTAGCTTATGAACCTAACCGTTCCTCTGTAGTCTATTCTCTAGGCTCTTATAATGATTAAACTAGGCTTCTTGCAATTGTGATTTTAATTTTGATAATCAGTTATCAATTCAATTTTTGTGAGATTTTTGTTTCACGCAATAAGCCACTCATCGTTGTACGATATTTCGCTGATTGAAATGGTAGAATGCTCTCGGTTCGAATAAATAACAATTTTCTTCATAGTTTTCACGATGTGCAGATCAAACCTATTTAGATATTCTACAAGGGAAGTCTTTCTTCAATTTCGTGCCGGTGACGCCGCCGTAAAATTATTTTGAGATGTTTATCCCCTTTGGTGTTGTCACGGCAAGAACTGAAAAATCTAATGGGTATAACTCGCTGATTCAAACAGTGATATGCTCTCTCTTCAAAGAGAAAATTTTACTGTTGTTTCCATGATGCGCCGATCACACCTCACATGACATTTCTGTAAGGTAAAACTCAGCTTTTTCACACGCCATCCTGAAATGGTTGTCAGAGGTTTACCATCTTCTGAAGTACTCCGACACAACAAGTAGTACTAAGAAACAGTTTAATTACGTGCTATTTCCGAGTAACATTTGAAGCAATCCAAAGGAACTGTCACCAAGCACTGAACGCCCGAATATGTTCCGCGACAGACAAAAGCAAAGAGCGAGTAATATCGGGTACAACTCGACAGACTTCGTTGAGGGCGAAGAGGTCGTTCGTATTCTATAGTTGCATTCAGCCACTCGCTCACTCAACAGACCAACGCTATGGCTTTTGCCTCCATAGGAGGCAGTAGCCATAAAAATTTAAGTGCCATAAAAATTTCTCAGTCAAGTAAGTCAAGTGGATCGTTTCGTAAATGCAAGCTTTTTTTTAATAAAAAGGTTTGTTTAAACAATCTACAGAATACTTAAGGAAAAGAAGTGTGAAGAACTTAACAAAAAACAGTGACAACCGAGTTTCAAGCATTTAATAGTTGATCAATATTTCCATAGGTTTCTTGTAACGGTTCGATCTCAATCAACCCGTGTCTGGTGAAGAATAACGTCTGCCAATGTCAGACCAGCAACAGCTCAGTCTGCGATACTCTAGACCAGCAGGCTTTTGTAAACCTGACTGGGGCATCAAATGAAATTGCGTCAAAATGGACTTGCTGTGTTTGTCCTCCAAATACGACCTATTGCTGTGACAAGTGTCCCAACATTTCAACTTCATCTGTAGTAGGTAGGGAGAAAAAGTTTTCTTTTGTTTTGTTATGTTTTTTTTTTTATCAAGAAGTTTCTAATAAAGCAGAGGTTGTTTAAAAAATGTAGAAACCTGTTTGGGTAACACTGGCTGACTTTGCCGAAATGGAGAAAAGTTTTGTAATTGGCTTTTTTTCTCGGAGTTCTTTAATTATTGCAAAAAAACAAAACACTGAAGAACAAAATGTTGGAGCTGACTGAGCAGCAGTAAAAAAATGCGAGTTCGGATAATATACTAGCGTTTCGACTCAATTTGACCAACACCCAGAGGAACGAAACTTGTAGTTTCATCACCAAATCTGAAAAGACTTTAGACAGGCAACTTAAAGAAAATCGCAACAGTTGTAAACAACAGATTTTGTAAGTTTAATTAGCAAGCTGCTCACCTGAAAGGTGCTTCTCGGGGGGAAATGAAATCTAACAGGATTCGAGAGAGCGGTGAAAACGTACCACCGACCTTTAGACTACTTGAGGTTTACCAAATTTAGTGCAAAGGAGTGGTGCGGGAGTCTTTTGTTGCCTTTTTTTTCTTTCAAGCTCAGCATTTTTTCAACAATTGATTCTTCCTTACACCAGACGGACGGATACTTTGAGACTCTTTGATTTGAGTCCGGAGCGAAAATTCGTTCTCTTTTTTTTTTTTATTTTTTTTCTTTTGTCAATTTGCAGCTCCGCTAGTTCTAGCACAACCAACCTGGAACTTCACGTTGCTGCTGGTCTTTGTGCTAGAGTGTGAAATGTTCAAAAGTTTCCAGGACAACTTGACTAACTCACTACAAACGAGAATTTCTAGCCTGACCAGCATTCCACTAAGTCAGATCACAGTGATCAACATGAGCTGCGCCTCTGGTCAGCGGCCATACTGCGGGGTCGACGTGGCAAGCATCAGGGCACATCATCGCGAAAGGCGCCTAGCTGTGGGAGGTCGGATGAAGGGAAGTAAGAAGAAGAAAAACGAGAAGCAATTTAACTATCACAACACGAACCGCTATTACGCAATCGAAGAGGACTGCGACAGTTTGACTGCCAATATCACCATCTACGAAAGAAACAAAACTGCTCTTGAATCATCTCTTAAATTTCTAAGACAGCTACAAGTTAATAACTCTGTTATCATTCCGTTATGGAATGGAAGAACCATTTTTTCAACCTTTATGTTGTCCGCCATGTATGGTGGCTCATATAGTTTGCACGAAGCGCCCAGGCCTTTACCGCTACCCCTCCCTCCGACAGATGGCGTCCCGCCCATTGAGACGGACTTGAAGCCTATGATCTATGCGGGTGCCTCTATATTAGGTCTCGTTGCTTTGTGTGTTTTATGGCAGTTTATAAAACAATCCTGGCTTTTGTCAAGAAAGAAGTTTACTCCGATCAACAGTGACCGTCTGGATCACAAAACAGACCAGCAACTTAAGCAATTGAAAATTCAAGAGGCCATGGAGGAAAACGATCGTGTCACAGGTAGGTAATTATAAAAATGGAAAGCTCTGTTCACACAGGCAAATTTTCTTGGCATGATTCATTCTTGGCAGTGAGGACGTAAATTACAAATCTATAAGTCTAGAAAAGTTCGAAGATAAGTAATACTGAGGTTCAGATTAAAATTTTTCGCGAAATACTTACCTCGTGAACTTTCATTGCAGTATTATTAGTCACAAAGCAGGCACAGCTATCATAGGTGACCGTGCCCTTTCCTGGTTGAATACTGAGACTGCTAACGTATTGCTATCTTACCTTGTTTTTGCCACTAAGCCATACTCGCTAAAACCCGCCCGAAAAGATAACGCGATACGCATGCTCCAATCTCAATCTCGTTCCCAGCGCCTTTTCCCGCCCAAGTAAGAAAATAGGCCCTGGGAATGAGGCTGGTACCAACCTATTTCTCTAATGGAAGATCCCTTTGCCAATAGGTTCAGGGTTTGTCATAGAGCGTCGTGAAGCAAAGCTAATGTTATCTCAGATTACTTCCTATCTCAATCAAAAATTGTTCTATATTGTCGTAAAGGCTATTTGTCTGCTAAAGCCTTTCGATATTTTTTTTCATACAGCCAATGGGAGCGCATCATCCTCTCTGAGCTTGCCTCGAAGCAATGTCGAGGCCAAGAAGCAGTGGCCCCCAGGCTACCCCGTGAGGTCCCTTAAACCGGCGTACGAACCAACTGAGTTACACTATCAGCGGACTCCTCCAAGACTCATACTGGACGATGAAGGCTGTGATATTGAGGACAGGCGGAGTATTGGTAGCGCAAGCATGTCGAATTTAGACAATGACACCCTGAGTGACATTTTTAACAGCGATGATGAGCAATTCATTTGTCCATCTAATTCTTGCCCGCCTTGTTCGCCAGGTTACACAAATCCAGCTTTCATCGAGGACGAAAAGACAACTGGAAATAGTTATCCAGGTTTAAACAGGAAGCCGGGCATAGCTTCGAAATCGCTCACACCTGATAAAGGAAATGCAAAGTTATCCGTTAATCCAAGTGATGTTCACAATCAAAGGGACGGCTCCATTGCCTCTTCTGAGTTAAGCTTGGACGCCGGTGAAGATACGGTTTTCCTGCCCGCTAAGGACAAAAAACAAGAGAAGCAGAAGAATGTGAACAAATTTTTGTCGCCCTCAAACGGTGAGAAAATTATCAGGAGGTCGTCTATTACTTCCGTTGTCGAAGACGAGGGGATTCGAAAAAATTCCGCGCGTGGGGCCAAGAGTCCAAACACGTCTAGAATAGAGCACCTTGTTGAAGAAAAAAGTAGAAAACCTTCTCTAGCTTCGTCCGACAAAGAAAGAAGACCTGGTACCCCGAAGGATACCAACTCTAAAGGGAAAAAGACCACTACTGCGTCAACTTTGGCAAGTCCTAGACATTCGCCTCGTGCGGAAGACATTGGTGTTAGAAATTCGGAGAGTTCTGGCAAGAACAAAATAAAGGGGAGTGTACTATCAGTTACCACCACGACAAAGAAGAGAAACTCTGTTTCCGTTGCCGCGATAACAGGGGCGAAAGAGGATTCTGAGGGTAGCGTGACAAAATTCCGTGTAAGATCAACTACGTCCATAAACGGCGAGCGGAGGAAATCTGCAGCAGAGCCCGCTAGATTTGGGGAAAGCCTCCCTGAGGGAAGCAGAACCAAGGCGAATGAACTAACAATTGAGGACGTCATTGAGGATAAAAATACAGCAGCAACGGGAAACAAGAAGAAAAAAATGAAGAAGAAAGAGAAGGCAGAGAAGGAAGTAAAGATAAAAGTGGCTGATTCAGATGATTCATCCGAAGAAAAAACCGCGAAATTCATTCCGGACACAGAGGCCGGATTGACTGTGATAAGTTTATCTGAAGAACATAAAAGTAAGTTTGTTGCATCACAAGAGAGCGAAACCAAAGCAAAGAAAAAGAAAAAAAGGAAAGAAAAGGAGGAAAAGAAAAGAAAAATTGAAAATCCTGAGCCTTCATCGGATGAAGAAGCACAGGGTAATACGCAAGATTCAAGTTCAGATATCATTGCCGTAAAAGCGAAGACGCAAAAAACGCCCGCTGTTCACGATGGAACTCAGGATAAAAAAAAGAAAAAAAAAGAAGTGGCCACAGGACGAAAAAACCCTGAAACTGCCGAAGAAAGGCCTGCGACTGTGGGAAGAAATGGCAGTTTTGTTCGATCTACAAATAATTTTAAGGGGGATTCCCCGAATACCGCTACCCCGGAGCGAAGGCGCATGAAGTCCATTTGTATCGAGGACATGGAAAGCAGATCCCCACCGATTGGCGTGGGAGGAAGTCGAAGAAAAACTGACATTCCTGATATACCTGAAGATTGGGAGCAGACTTCTTCATCTCAAATCAACACTCGTTCACGACCAAACAGTATATCCCCCATTCCAACTGGATACAAATCACCGCGCCTGGTGATAAAACCCTCTTATCATAAATACTGACCTCTGCATGCGCCGTCCTCTCCTTCCTCAGCCCCTTGATATAAGGGACCTCTTTTCTGTGGTCCTCACAAATATGCCCCTTTCTGAGAAATCATACCTACTGTATATAAGACGTTATTTGAATCATTATAGGTATGTCCAGTCAAGAAACGATCTCTGAGATTCACTGCACATCGGTTTCTTTCACGGTAATGAAATTCGAAGCTGCGACGAACACGGTCGCTGAAGTTTGACTGCAAATTTGAGGTAGAAATACAGACAACCCGAGAGCCAATTAGAAAAAATACAAAAAACGGTTCTGTCCTCGTGTACCGGTTCACAAGAGCCAATACAAAAGACCAAACAATACACAATAGCTAACCAATAACTCCTAAACTAAGAAAGAACAATCGTAATTCCCTTGTGAACCGGTACACCAGGACAGAACCCAAAAAACGTTTCCCGGCTTTCGACCGATTTTACACGTCTACCTTGACCCTGTTTCAGAGTGTGTTTGTAATAATAAAAAAAAATAATAATAATAACAAAAAAAAAGCTACATAGATACGTACTGCAGTAAATGGCTTGAACCCGGGGGTAACATGTGAACGTGTAGTCTGCTAGATAAGTACTGCGCGTAAAACACGAGAAAGCGAGAAAAACGTGTGTTGTAAATGTAAAATATAAAACAGATCACCACACTGTGATTAAACACATCTTTCACTTCAATTTATTTTACATATAAAGTGTTTTATTTTGGGCTTGCAGCTTGTTTTACAACAACCGTAATGCTTATTTAACCTTTTTACTACCACAAATGACCAAGACAGAATTTCTCCTTAAAATATCGCTACAGTTACAAGCCTTGGGTATTATCATTTGATCAAGCACCGAATTCTCAGTGTAGCCTCTATAAGAAATGTACGGCAGTGTACGCTGCATTGAGAAACTTTATGCTTGTGGTTGTTTGCCAGCAAACTTGAAAACGGTTCTATTTCAGCCCCACTTCTTTGATCTTTTTAATATTCAAGATCGATCAGCGAATTCAGTTACAGATTTAGACTAATATTAAAGTTTAGAGTTTTGAGACCTCAGCGGTCCTTGCCATTCCACACCTAAAAAAGTAAAAAAAAAATAAAAAAAAAAAAAGCTTAAAATACAAAGAGAGGGTCTGGCCGGTTAAAAAGTTCAACATTCAAAGAACTTGTAAAAATGAACTTATGTAGCTAAGCTTGCCCCAGGCCCCGATCGAAAGGGCCCTTGGAAGAAGGAAAATAGGGGCTTTAAGCAGTCAGGACGGCAACGCAACAGAAGACATCGATAAAAAAATGAGTTTCTAATTTTAGTTAGAATTTCGAAAATGGCTGCATGTGTTTACCGTCTCGTAGGGCGCCAGACCTCAGACTCCACATAGCGCATAAAAGTAGCGTTGAGAGGTTCTTTGGTTACAATGTGCACTTACCAAGCAAATGGGCGAGCAGGAGAAATCTGTCCGAGCCAAAAAACGTGTGAGGCTCACCATTGACATGGGCAACAATGAGAGGCGCTCCGAAAGCCTGAAATTGAAATTATTAGCCTCGTGTATTGTCTTGATTTCAGTACAATTGTTCCTGACAAATCTAGGATAACACAGTTCAACAATTCTGTATTAAGTCTTAATTAATCTCAAGCGCGTGCCAAGAAGTTAGTCAACTAACAACTCTGGAAATGAATATAAGGGTAAGTTTTAAAGAAACTGTGGTACTATGTTGGAGCAAAGCAAAATCATTTAGTTCCTTTTTCTCTTTCAGTGCACTTTGCACCAGTTCATGAGTGAGGGGGGGGGTAGACATAACCACCTAATTCCACCAAAATATCCATGCACTTACCCCCAAATCAAGAGCCTTTTGTGTGGTTTCCTTCAATGTATCCTTGATTTCCTGGTCTTTAGTCTTACTAATGAGAGCCTGAGTATCATCTGCACTTAATCCAACTTTTGTACACACCTAACAAAACCACATCAATAGTCAGTTGGCTACCCTCTACCTTCTGTTAAGTGCAAACTGCTGCAGTCATAACAGAGGAAACAAGTCTGACTTATTGCTCATGAATAAAGGGGGAAAGTATCCAAAGAAAGAGTGGTGCTGCATCAGTGGGGGGGGGGGTCGGTGGGGAAGTATTACAAGATAATTTGGTTTTATTAACTAAGTTAAATGTTGATTGGCCTCTCTAAAGAGTTTCTAAAGCTGATGTTACAATTGTAGGCCTTCATCAAGGTGTTTATGTTATGTCAGGTTCATCCAAGATTCAATACATGTATAGTCCTCTCTTAAAATCTCAGTGAACAACTCTAACAGCTAAGCCATCTAAAGCACAAATTGATAAAATATGATTCACCCAAAGCTTAAATATCAAAGATGTATATATAATCTGAAATTTGAGAGAAAAAGTTCCTTTAGTTGCCACGCAAATTATTTATTTCCAGTCTTTGAAGAGTTAGCTATGATGAAGTGCCATCATAATTTCATGATTGTTGTGAAAATGGTTACCATAGAAATATGCAGACAACATTTACCTCCTGAAAACTTTGAGGTTCTACAATGTCTTCATCCTAAAACACAGACATATATATATATATTTTTAAAAATTATACAATGGAACTTACCCTCAATGGCACATTTGTGACTTGAGAAATTAAAACAAAACTAAAAATGAATACATAAATTGAAGCTCCCCCTTAGGGGCTTTTCAGCCACAATGTAGACTAACTAAGTGCTTAAAAATTCCCACTAGCAGGAGGCAGACTAGTGAGCTATTTACAGAGCACAGCCAAGGAGTTGAACTTGGGGTAAGCGAGAACAAATCCAGTAAGTGGCAGGGTTATGACTTGAACCTGGGACACTGGATTTCAAGTTGAGCACCCTAACCACTCAGCCATGCCGCCTCCTGACTCCTGAGAAAGACGGAGGTGGTTGTAGAGAGGTGACCATTGTTAGGAAAGCAGGTGTTGTGAGACACCTTTTTTTTTGATGAGGGGTGGAACACTTAGTTCTATATGTAAAAAAAAAAAAATAAAAAAAAAAAAAAAAAAAAATGCTTTAGGTTGCACATATTGAATAGTTGACATACTCAAAATGTATAGAATGTAAAAAAAGAACCCAAAATTATTCTGCAGAGGAAAATACACCATTTTATAGTCGTGTACATAGTTGCCAAGCCTTTGATTTGGAGCAAGGTTGAAGGTGACATTTTGTGATAGAGACCTGTATCTACTTAGCATGATGACAAAGTAATTTACACTTAAAAAGCAGCTACATTTGTATCATAATGAGGTCACCCTTAGCCTCACTCCTGTTCAAAGGCTTAGCAACCAAGCACACAACTGTAAAATGTATTATTTCTGACAGAAACAATTAAGGTACAGGGAGTCTATCAGTTTGTTGACAGTTCAACGTTTTTCATTTATGACATTTTATTTTCAACTTAGCAAAACAAAACTGTCATCTGCTAAAGAACAAATTTTCATAGTTTTTAAATAACTGGTGGTTTAATCTAATACTTATCAACACACCCTGGACCAGGCTCTCATCCAGAACTCACGACTAAGTTCTTCAAGTTTCTCTGGATGGTATTTGCAGGCTGCTGTTAAGAGTCGCATAGTGGGTAGAGAACCTGTTGACCATAAAAAAATCAGCCGGAATGAAAGCTTTTTTTCACCACACTTTTATAATTTTTTAATATATTTACAAGATATTCTTAAATGATCTGCAGCTTGTTATTGTGCCGTATATTTTGAAAGGATCTCAAAACAAAGTTGAAATCAAAATTAATTGAGAAGAAAAAATTATTCAAAACTCAAACCGAATTCTTTTTAAGATATTTGATCATATTATGTATTAACTTGTCTTTTTCTTTTAATTTGTAGTTCTATCCCAATCACACCAAGGCTTAAACAAGTTTTAAAGCTGTTGTTAGACATGGTTTAAATTTGTATTCTTCAAATTTAGTACATTGGAATTACAAGTTAGAGACTACTTGAGTTCTTTTAAGGAAAATTCACTTTTTCAGTTCTCTGTTTCTGATTTTCATTCGATCAGTTAAACCCATTTAACTAACATGTATGGGATATAAGATATTTGAAAAAGCTGCTTGTATTAGGCATAATTTAATTCATAATAAAATTACATACCGATAATATTCTTTATCTGAATATTCATGAAAGAAAAAAACTGTTACCTTTGGTAAACATCACATTGGCAGGATCCTAAAGAAATCATGATTAAAACGAATACAAATACTTTCAGAGTTGAATTACAACTTAGATTGAGAAATCAAACCTTCCCAAACACAACAACTATTCTTTTATTAAACTAGTAATAATCAGAAATTAGGGAGATGCGTTTGCATGACCATTTGGGACAAGCAAGCACATCAACATGAGAGGCAAAACATGAAACTCAACTCCCACTAAAAACAAAGCACACGGTCGATGGAAATGATGTCATTTGCCCCTGAATAATTCTTTGGGGGGGCCAAATTAGTGTCCATGAATACATAATCCAAAAATGTCGATTTTGACTGCATTATGAACATGTTCTTTGTCAAACACAATTAATCCTTTCACTCTCCAAGTGATTTACATATAACTTCTAAGCATCTAGTCCATATATCATCAAATAAATGGGTAATGAGAATACTCAGACAAGCTTATCAGGTTGAAGTTAACTTCTTGATCTAACACCAAATTCTTGTTGCTAATTTTCAGGGAAATGTGAAGTGGCTAGAGGGTTTGGGCTCACCTCATAGCTTTGATTAGTGTCAAAGGTATCAAATGATGGCCAATAGGAGATATTAAAAAAATTTGGCAAAAGATGCTTCTTTTCTTATCATCAAGGACAGTGGATTTCTGGTTCTATACCAACTCGTCTAAAAGATACATTTAATTGACACTCACAGAGGGTGGAGTGATGGGGATTCCATAAAACTCCCGCAGTCTTTGAATATCTTTCATCATGTAGACACCTTTGGCGGGAACCATTGCTGGAGGTCTGTTACCTTGATGTAAAGAAATATAAAAAAAGGATGATAGGAAAATCATCATGCATAAATTAAATGTGATTGAGAAAAGCTAGAGTGTTGCCTGGGATTTGGCTATGACAGTCCCTAAGAGTGACCAGCATCTAATTTCTCCTTACAATATCACCCCTGAATCACACATTAAGGTCAGGAGAATATAGGAAATGATCACCAACTACAGAAGCTCTTGATTATTAAACAAATTCTCCTTCTCAGCACCTTGGGAAATGTATAAAGAACAGTATGGAGAATATGCATACTGATGTTAGAGTGTAGAGGGTTAAGAGGAGTCACATTAACACCCTTCATGGTTAAGTGATAGCAGGGAGCAGGGATGGCACAGTGGTGAGAGAGCTTGCTTCTCACCACTGTGGCCTGGGTTCGACTACTGGACCTGATGTCACACATGGGTTGAGTTTGTTGTTGGTTCTCATCCCTGCTCCGCGAGTTTTACTTTCAATTGGCTCCTCTAGTTTTTCTCCCTCTAAAAAATCAACATTCCAACTTCCAATTCCATCTGGAGTTGATTGTTTTTAACACGAGCCACCAGCTCAAAAGAATTGGCAACCACTTCCTACAATATCAACTTTAAATAATTATACATGATTCAATTTTTTCAAAGGCAGAGAATGTCATAATAAGCTACTTGTTTCACAATTACACCATAAATAACAGGAAAAATTGATTAAAATTCAAATACTTGCATTGTACAAAGAGCAAAAGCAAAAATGATAATTATGTATGATTATAGTAACACTCATTTAAGGTAAATTAGTATCACAAATGCTATGTGAATCAATGGATTGTGCCAAAAATTAGTGCTGTACGACAAATTTGCATACCCAACTATATAACCATCTCTTAATGTAAACAATAAATTTATTAACAAATTGACAGAACCTCATTTATCTTGTACCTGAGCCTGCCATTATTCCTCCCAGTAAAAAAGGACGGAATTGCAAGTCTAAATTCCATTTGGGTCTATAGCGACAAAGGACCTGTGAATAAGTGGATAAAAGT